AGCGACCAAGTGATTTCTTTTTCAGTTGCTGAGGAGAAACTCCAGGTACCACCTTCAAGTTTGTGACCTTAAAAAGACTCAGAGTCTCTAACACAAAGTGACTTCTTCCAGGACGATAGAAGTGACCGAACATCCTGGGATATCCTGGGATCTCACAAGGTCACGAATTGAAGGCCCTGGTGCTTGAAATGTCTTGCCATGTCTTGCCCAATAGTCAAGTTGCTTTCGTGAAGCACCAACAAGTCCACGGAACAACAATTAAAAGACACTGGGACCCTGGTTGCTGTTTGAACACCACACAGCAGCTTTTGGATGTTAATCCTGAGGGCCTGAGGTCTGTGATTTCTTCCATTCCAAAAGGAGCCACCTCGCCGGCTGCGAGCCCGGGCCGGGCCGCCTGCAGGATGGGCCGCAATGCCTGGGGCGAGATGTTGTCTCCATCGATGAAGAGCGTTGTGGTATCTGGCGGCCGGGCGAACAAAAAGGGCGAGACGGCAAAGCACCAGGAATGGGCGACACCGCAACCACCGAAGACTACGGGTCATAGATTGACGCCCACGAGCAGAACGGGCATAGTATACATGGATTTGACATCTCCAAACTGGCGGGTGTTTTATTTATTCAAATAACATGCTGTTCTTTTTCAGTGGTGACCAAGTCTCCACTTGGCTCCGAGTCTCATCATGTGTGGCCGTTCAAACCATAGTTTTCGGCACCCGGGTCACGTGTGGCGATGCTCACCGCCCGCCTGGGGAGGCTCCCAGACTTCCGGAAGCGCACCTGCGCGTGTTCTACACGTCACGTGCGACGGGGGTTCTTAGGTTCGGGGAATGAAAGAGGAAATCACAGAACACGCTTCAAGCCCTTCAAGCGCTTCTCTGCCGCGCCGTGTGTCGGCGCGCCGTATCCGTCCGCCGAGATAGCACCTGGAGCGAGGTGCTCGAGCGACACCTGGACCGGTCGTCGAGCGACGCGGCGAAGATGGCCCATGCGTTGTTTTTTGTATTTTTCTCACCACGTCTTGGAGAGGTGTTTGTTACTCTTGCAGAGTGGTTACAGTATAGAGCAATATAAGCATGAAGCGTTATGAAGCGTTATGCCACCAATCACGGCGCACATGGTGGACTTCTAAGGCCCAACCAAAGGTTTTTGTCAAAGCCCTATTGATATGAACCATTCCCAGTTGAGTACCCCTCTCCCATCCCAGGTCCTATCACCCAAACGCTCCGTGAAACACGCCCAACTGGGTCCCTCAAAACGGAATTGCTGAGACCCCAGACCCCTCCGACCCCGGACCCCATGGGGTTCGGGCCCGACTGTTCCAAAGGCTTCGGGCCCGGTCTCGGGTCTCATTCTCGGTTGGTTTCGATCAACAAGGCCCTGGGTGTCCCCACTCAGGTGTTGAGGGCACGCCAGCGCCACGCAGCGGCATCGACTGGAAGGTGTTGCGGGTGGCGCGGCGTCGCGAGGTCCGTGCGAGGGAGGCGAGGGGACCAGAAGGAGACCACAAACTCGCACGCTTTGAGGAACTTAAAAGTTTTGACCATGGAAATGGTAAAGTTCAAGCTGATGTTTTTGTCGTTGAGGGGGTTTAAATTGGTCCAACTCCAAGGAATCCAACCGTTGAGGCCGGCCAAGGCGGTTGCTTTCCCACGTCCTGCGTCGGCCCCAACTCTGCCGACAGGGCGACGAGTCACACCAGGCGTCTTTGGCAGAAACAACACGCACAAAGACCATCGATTCCTAACCGTTCTGGCAATACTTGGCAGTGTGACTACACTCATCAACATCATTGCAGGTACAATATATTTATGTAGAAAACCACATACTTTCTATAAGGTACTTGGACCAGCCAAGCCTAAGTCAACGCGTGTCCAATATCTCCAATCACCCTGGATCCGTACAATCCTTTTTTTAATGCTTTGGTAGCTGCTACTTCGCACTTCGTCCGGCCCTTTAGACAGCGCCAATTCAAATAATGGCTGCATTTCTTGATCTGAGTCACAGCTGGCTCGCTCTGTACCGAAAGCTGGTGCATGAAATTCTTATGCCCAACGAAGGAGCTCACTACTTTCTCCATGGTACTGGCTAGCTTCCCCATTGTGCCAAGCAAATTCTCAATATGCCCTGCCACTTGGGAATCTTTGACCACATTGGTCTCAATTCGCTTCCCATGGTGATCCCATATATGTGTTTTCCCGTTTTCAGGCATCGGACCCTGTAGTGACCAATCGGACCCTGCAGGTCCCCCCTGAACGGACCTCAGAACGGACCGCCCGGGAAGGCGCGGTCAGTGGGTCATGCAGACCCTTTCATCACGGGAGGCGGGAAAGGACCGACTCCGGACGGTGACGAATGTTTTTGTGCATGTTTTGGCATACTGATCATGATATGCCACCAGAAAGACCCCCTGAAATCAACCACACCAATCTAGGCCGGTCCAAAACAGTGTCTGGGGCCAAACACGTCCACAGAACTGCACCGATGCAAACCGTCTCCCGGGGTTCCCACGGCGCCTCAACATGCCATGGATCCCGAAGTCGTAGAGTTCGTCTTTCTTGGGATGTCTTTGGGTAGGATGTGCATGGTGTCTTCCCCTTCTTCCACTACATGTTCGCAGCTTTTACTTCACAGATGGGTATTGTTTTTCTTGGCTAGGTGAGCTGGAGGTTCTTCTGCTGTTGACACTGCGATATGTGATGTTTCTTACTTTGCAGAGCCAACAAAGGTTGAAGAACCCTATAGCCTATATATACATATACTATCCCATAGGTAACCCAGGTTACTGGTTCATTTTCAGGTCACTTAACCTCTCTTGGAATCACTGAATCGCTATTGTGGTGGATTGACTCAATAGAGTCTTTGGACGCTTGTAACCTGAAACCAACATGTCCAAGTGAGGATGATCCATCGACTGAACCATTCTGAATGGCAAGCTAAGTCGATGACAATGGGTGGTCCAGCAGGTCCTTTCAGTCCTTTCCCAAGTCTGGATCTTGGAATTTTGGGAACCCTATAACTGTTTCATGTGTTGTTAGTTTTTTGTTTGTTTCCCTGCACAAAGGTTTTGGCGTTTGTCCTTTTGAGAAACGCCGGCAGAGCGAGGCAAACTGCATGATCATACTGATGACGTTTGCTGACTTCCCAAAGAAATTTACAAGTACTAAACTGCTGATTAATAAGACCCCCTGATTGCTTTGCATCTTCAGATTTGGGGGGTCATTGATCAACAGTCTACATGATGATATGTCAGAAGACTCACGACGGCTCCCAAGGTGCAGTCTCAACTTGGGGAGAACCCCCCTGTTTTCAGAGCTAGATACTCGATCTTCCCTCTTGGTTTCTACCTGTGGCCTCCCTATGTTGACGCATACTATGACATGTCCATATTGTGCATAACTATATCTTTAAGTGTTCGATAGCTTCACAAATCTTCACAGTTTTGTCGTTTGGCAAGAGAAAGAGAAACGGCAAGAGTGTGCCTGGAACAACTCTTTCCACTGCTGGAATCAAAGCGACTTTCACAATTTTCCTTGCCCTCCTGAAAGTTCGGTAAGTTTCATTCCACCAAAAAGGCCAAAAGAACAAACATGTCGTTTGGCCGAAAGACTTCTCGATTCTGAACGATTCCACTTCAACCAGATTGGGCCTGAGTTCATCCAACTGGCCTCGAAGCAACCTCACCGGGGAACCCGTTAACTTCGAGTGATCCCCGCCATGACATGTCAATCCTTTGTTTTCATGCCATGGTGAGGAGCACGTTACCATGGTCGTGAGCTTTTGTGGTTTTCGATTTTACTTGTGGGTCCCTCACGCTTGCTCGGGGTTGTTACGTTAGTGTTGGGGAGTTCGCGTTGGAGCGTTGCCAGGGTCTCCAGGTGGCATCCAAAAGTGATACCCTGTGACCACCTGCACGGTACTTGTACTGTTGTACTTGTGTGTTTTTGATTGTGCTTTGTGTTTGAGTGTCGTGGAAGTGTGTTGTGGTTGTACGCGGTGGTCGTGTGCTGTGGTTGTGTGTTGTGGTTGTGTGCTGTGGTTGTGTGTTTGTAGTTGTGCTTGTGGCTTCTGTGTTTGTGGTTGTGTGCTTTGGTTGTGTGTTGTGACTGGTTGTGCTTGTGGCTGTGGTTGTGTGTTCGCGGTTGTGTGTTTGTGGCCCACTGCGATCTGGCACTTGCAGTTGAGGTGCGGCAGTCAAGGAGGAGAGGAGAAGAGGAGGAGGAGAGCTTTGATAAATTGTAACATAATGTAATAACCCTCACCTGGCAGGTGTGGAAACTCATCCAGTGCCCTGTGACATCCAGTACCCACAGCACAGGGCATGGACCGTGGCAAGGGCAGAATCCTTTTGGATGATGCAGCATGAACCTAAATGGACATGGATCATTTCGGATGGAAAGAACTCCATCCAATCTCCTAGAACTGTTCGGACACTGGGATGCAACAACATCAAAAAAGTAAAGCAAAACCTCAATGTCGACTGTTGATCAATACAGAATGGTTTCACATCTCCACATGGGGAGTTTTATTGAACAGCGCTATACATATAATCAACAATCATTACAATGACACTCCCCAAAACTAGGAATATCCAAGAATGACACCCTGAGTCCGATATGTTTTCCTCTAGCGGGTCCATGTGGTCCTCTTCAGCGAGGTAAGTTAAGGAAATCCTTCTACCAGTGGTTCCACGTCGGAGTCGCTGTTGGCCCGTCCAGTAGTGGAGGTGACAGGGGCGCCCCGGCACCTTTCCAGCACTCGGCACCCTGGCATGAAACTCCTGATATGTTCAAACCAAGAGAGGGCTTAAGTTATCTTAAGTTTTGTGACCTGATATATCGGGCCCGGGATGTCTTGGGTACCCACCTGGGATAGTCGAGCTAGGGATCTTCAAACTCTGTTGGATGATTCCTCACCAGGCCCCAGAACACTTCCGCCACTCTCACGTCACCAATTTCCTGGCGAGCTCTTTGACCCCGGCCTCCTCAGGCTTCATGGTATCACCGAAGACCCGTTTGAAGTAGACCTCAAAACGGCACGGACCAATTCGACTGGTTCATGGTACACTCCCTAAAGACATGGTTGTAAGTGCATGGACAATAGCCCCGAAGACTCGGAATACCATACACCGGTGGTTCTCACTGAATGGCAATTTCTGTGCAGTGAATGACCACCAACATGTCGCCGGACTCCGCGAAGCCGCCCTCAAACTTCTTGGGGTGAATCTTACCTATCCGACCTGGGTGGCTTTGAATCTTCCCTATCCTCGTTAGACAATATTGTACGGATAGGTATGCTTTTGTAAAACCCAAACCCTCCACATATGGAATATATCTAATTATATGCCTACATGGACCCCACAAACCACCCCAATGCAGGCAAATTACACGGAGGGTCTGGTTATGCAAAATGGACTAACAACACAAAATCAAAACAAATACCACCACCAACAAAACAGCATAAAACATATTTTGGATGAAACTGTAGCTGGCTCTCTATCCCAATCCTATCTGGGCACTTGTGGGCTGCGTGGCTGCCCTAAAGCAATTTGCCAGCTCCAGCCCGGAGCAACAATCGCCCAACCTCCAAGTGGCCGTTCTGGGCTGCCATAGACAACGCCCTTGCCCCATCTGCAACAACCACAAAACTTGGCTGGTCAGGGCTGCACTTCCAGCCCGAGCAACTTCGAAGCGACCTCCCTTGGCTGCAACAAACAACACCATTGCCGCATGTGTCGTTGCTCCATCTTTGTAAGCACCAGTCTCGAGCAACAGTCGCACAACTTCCAAGTGGCCTGCCATGGCTGCCTCCAACAAAGCGGTTGCCCCATCTGTCGTTGCTGAATCTTTGTCAGCTCCAGCCTCAAGCAACAGTCGCACAACTTCCAAGTGACCTTTCAGGGCTGCCATGGGGGGTAGCGCTGCGAGTGTCCCAACCTGTCGCGGGTTAAGGACACGCAAAGCCACTCGCTAGGCAGAGTCCTCAGGGAGAGTACAAGCTGCCTGCAGGGTTCTACGCCGTAACGTGTGCTCTTCGTGTCGGATGTTTCCCATTTGTTGAAGAAGGTCCAAACAAGAGTCGAGAGTCATCCCAGGGCCCCACCCTAAACGTGCAGTAAAGTCGGAAACCGGACGCGGTAGCACCCGCAGCGCAGCGAAAAGCCGGCAGACCCACAGCACATGATCGATGGAAGGGACCACGGGCTCATGGCAATATGGACAATGCTGAGGACGGACAGCAGCATGGACAGTAGCAGGAGTGGACATGCCCCCCACTAAAACGGCCGCCGCCTCCCCGGGACACCCGTTTGACAAGCCCTTTGAGCAATGACCCTATATGCTCGGAGTACTGCAAATTCAGCTCACGGCCAATAGCAGAATCACGTCGTTGTCGATTTTGCAACCAACTGTACAATGGCGTTGCCCCATCTGTCATTGCTGAATCTTTGTCAGCTCCAGCCTCGAGCAACAGTCGCACAACTTCCAAGTGGCCCTGGAAGGCTGCCAGCAACAAAGCGGTTGCCCCATCTGTCGTTGCTGCATCTTTGTCAGCTCCAGCCTCGAGCAACAGTCGCACAATTTCCAAGTGACCTTCCCGGTCTGCCACCAACAAAGCGGTTGCCCCATCTGTCGTTGCTGAATCTTTGTCAGCTCCAGCCTCAAGCAACAGTCGCACAACTTCCAAGTGGCCCTGGAAGGCTGCCAGCAACAAAGCGGTTGCCCCATCTGTCGTCGTTGCTGCATCTTTGTCAGCTCCAGCCTCGAGCAACAGTCGCACAATTTCCAAGTGGCCTTCCCGGGCTGCCACCAACAAAGCCTTCCCTTTCGGTTTGTACGGTTTCTGAAGCAGTCTTTCAACATGAGTCACGCGATCCTCCCGACAGTAGTGGACTAATTCTTCCTCAGTAATCTCATCAAGAACACAAAAGGGCAGAACTATCAGCTGTACGCTTGGCAGTGGTCTCAAAGGCATGTAGTCCTGCAATTCGCCAATTTCGTCACTCACAAGTCTTTGCTGAAACCTTGAGCACCCAACCTGCACTGAAAGAAGTCGCTTTAGGTCCCGGACAGTTTTGCAACTTTCCACCATGCAATGCAACTCATCTTCATCAAGCTGAGCAACTGTCTTGCCAGACACAGCGGCAACCTGCATTGTTGTTCAAAGGTCTTGTGCCATGGTAAAGATTGAGGCCGCAAGACATTGCATCTCTAGCAAATGATATTTTGGTGCACATCCGAGCCAGCGGCAACAGATGATAGTAAAACATGCCTGAAGCCCCTCTTACAAGCAACCTATGATGCCCCCCATCCTCTACCCAGAACGCTTCACTCCACCGACGTCCCTTCGCCCGCTCCGCAGCGGTCGAAGGGCCGGTCCGCCTGGTAGATCGAGGTGCCCAAGGCGGCGAAGAGCGAAAAGCCGGCGCCCAGGATCCTCCGGTGACCGAGGTCCCGGCGGCCCGTGGGGACCCGGACGGCGAGGTCGAGACGTGGTAAACGACGTGGCAGGGGGCGAAAATGGGTCATCTGTGGCGCCACGGTGAAGAGGTGAAGAGGCAGTGAAGGTGGCGGAGACGAAGGTGGCGGTGCGGGATGTGATGATTGTTGCGAATGATGGTAGGGGGATGTGGTGTGTGTGTTTCTTTTGGAGTCTATATCCCATTACCGGGGCCCAGTGGATGATGATGGTTCAGTTGAATCTAGAAAAATAGAGATAATCTTATGACTGTTACTGGTATTGGGCCACACCCTAGTTATAATAGTCTATGATGTCTATGCTAACATGTTTTAGTCAAAAACCAGAGTTGATATGGCTAGGTGGCTCATAACATGTCCTTTTTCGGCGGAGACTGGGTATACAACCTCCGGACGGTGTCCCTCGTGACGTGGACGCCGGGGGGAGACCGGGTGGAGACCGGGTGTCTACAGTCTGACTGGGCACGGGAAAACCACCGAGACCAGGCGATGTGGGCGCTTTTTGGGAAAAAATCCTGGGGGTATGTGCCACATGTGTTAAAGAACGTGTCAACAAATATTGAAAGCCCCTCTGGCCGGAGACCTTGTGCTAAAAGACTTGAAATTGGAATGCATTCACCCTCATCAATCAAGTTCCTATAGACTTATGACTTATGA